GAACATATTTCACCTGATGAATGAGACTGCCAGCCCGTGAACCAATGGAAACCAGGCCACACTATATGCTAGAGCCCCATCTTTAGCAGCAGTGGGGACTAGAACCTGTATTCAACTCTGGCCAGGGGGCTCTGGGTGAGGCTCTTGTCACACATGTGTCAGTGGGCTGAACACTGGCCCTGACTATACCCAGGTGCCCAGTCCCGGTGACTATGGCTTCTGCTCATGTTCATTTGCTCTACAGTTCCCTGAGGGTGCTGGAGCCATGCCCTGGACTACAGCCTGCTTGACTGGGCCCTGACAACCTGCCCTTTGCCATCTGCCAGCTGGTATCGTGCTTTAACCTGAATGGGCACCCCTGGAATCAGGACGCTGCCACCTGCCTCTGAGCACAGCTGCTGCCTAGCTGTTGCTATGGGGCCTCCATTCGCTTGTCTGGACCAATCAGATCAGAAATGCGGAAGTTACAAAACCATCACCTCAGGGGGACCCCTACAGCCAGGTGAGTCCCCACTGCACTCCAACCACATATTCTAAGTGGTCCTAGTTTACCCACCTCATGAAAATTCTACCCCAGATTACAAACGCTGCACAGATAATTTTCACCACTGCTAGGTACATCGAACATTAAAGTCAATCTCTAAAATTTTCATCAACACCAACTCAGTCATCTTATCCATCAGGGAATAAAGGCATGGTTCCTAGGGCCTGATTAAGGAACTGATTAAGGACATAGAAAAATATTTTAGATCTGACAAAAAGTGGTTGCAAAATAAAATAACACAATCTAACTTAAAAGTAATTTCATAGCCAAAACATTCTGTTTATTATGGAATATGGGTGCATTTTATCATGCTATAGGGTGGGGAATCTAAATGTGAGCAAGTGAAGGACATGCAAATATGTAATCTCATGGAAGCCCCACTCTGATCGCTTTTCCCAAACTCATCCTCACTCTCAGCCACTGAAGTGATACTGGCAACCACAGTGCCATGGTTCTAATCATAGGATTAGCGGGCACTCCAATATTTGTTGAATGAGGAATGGATAGACGAATCTATTGGCGGATGAATGAATGAATAAATGAATAAAGGAAGGAAGCAATGAATAAATCCTCCAATAGAAATACATTCAGAGATTTTAAAAAATCAGAAGGAGAGGGAAATCGGTAGTTGCTGTTTAATGGGTATTGAGTTTCAGTTTTGCAAGATGAAAAAGTTCTGGAGATTGGTTGCACAACAATATGAATATACTTACCACTACTGAACTGTACACTTAGAAATAGCTAAGATGGGGAGCCAGCCTGGTGGCATGGTGGTTAAGTTTGCGCGCTCTGCTTTGGCGGCCCGGGGTTTGGTTCAGATCCCGGGCGTGGACCTACGCACCACTTATCAAGCTATGCTGTAGCAGGCATTCCACATATAAAGTAGAGGAAGATGGGCACGGATGTTAGCCCGAGGCAATCTTCCTCAGCAAAAAGAGGAGGAAAGCAACAGATGTTAGCTCAGGGCTAATCTTCCTCACCAAAAAAAAAAAAAAAGAAGAAATAGCTAAGATGGTAAATTTTATGTGTTTTTTTTACCACAATAAAGTTTCTAAAAAAATCAAATCAAATTTAAAAAATCAGAAATAAAATTCATAGAAAAATTCAGAATATACCTATGATAGCTATCTGAATCTCACTGGGGCCACTCTTAAATTTTCATCAATGTAGTCTTGACTTCTTCACTCTTTATTTTCATACATTATTTCTTATTTCTTTTTTGACTTCTTTTTTGGGGGTCCAGTAATTAACAGCTGCATTATTTGATTTGTCATTGTAACTGGAGAATTTGACGACTCCAATTATAAACACAAAACAAAAAAAAAAATTTTATTCCTTTCAATTGAGGGAGGTTCATATAGTAAAGAACAAAAAAGTGCTAAATCATATTTTAGTACATAATTTTCAGGAATTTTCAAATTAGCACATCATGAAAGTAAAGCCAGTGGCTAGTGGCACAGGCTCTGAGGCCAACTGACTAGTTAATGCTAGCTCTACCACTAACGAGCTTAATCTCTTTGTGACATGGTTTCCTCATCCTCAAAATGAAGCTAATAATTTTTAAAAGCTTTAAAAAGTATTTACCTCATCTCTGAAATGAGAATAGTAATTTTTAAAAGCTAAGTAAGAATTTTACCTTACTTAAGCAAGAATTTATCCCATGTTTACAAATTGAAAAACAAAACTCTACTTTTAACAATAGGCTAAAAGCTTTAACAAATAGCTTCTCAAATTATAGTAAGAAATATCTCCTCATTGCATAATTTTATAATACCTATGATTCCCACATTCAAAAATAACCACTGTTAACGTGTTGGTGTATGGTACATACCACATATAATTATATTCCACATTGTGTTTGGTATCTTATTTTTCTACTAAATGTATCATGAGCATTTTCTCAAATCAACATATATTTGGGGTTTCCTATACAATGTAGAATAAAATCCAAAGTCCTCACCTTGGCCTACAAGCCCCAGTGTGATCCCTAGTCTCCTGGTCTATACTTAGCTTCTCTCCTACTTCCGACATTACTGAGCTCCAGACACATTAGCCTTCTTGCTGGTCCTTGTGCATGTTCAGCACACACTTGCCTCAGGGCCCTGGCACTTACTATGTCCTCTCTCTAGATCCTCTTCCTCCAGATTTCCACAAGGCTCACTCCTTCATTTCACTCATGTCTCACCTTTTAACAGGTGAACACCTCATGCAAAGTAGCAATCACTGTCTATTCCTTTGCCGTGTTTTATTTTTCATAGTAGCACTTACCACTATTTAATATATTATATAACTACTAGTAGTAGGTAAGGCCTCTTTTTCCCAGTAGGATGTAAGTGCCATAAGGGGAAGGATTTTGTCTGTCTTGTTCTCTGTTTTATCCCCTAACATTACGTTTTAAACAAATATTCGTTGAATGAATGAGTAAACTTTGCTCTAACTTGTAACTTCTTGATTGCACAGAACTGTGTTGCATGGATATTGCTTAATGTATTTAACAAATCTCCTGCTTTGAGATATTATAAATGGCACTGCAGGCCCCGGCCCCAAGCCAGGTGGTTAAAGTTTCATGCACTCTGCTTCAGTGGCCTGGGTTCGCAGCTTTGGATCCCAGGTGCAGGCCTACTGCACTCACCAGCCATGCTGTGGCAGTGTCCCACATGCAAAAAAAAAAAAAAATAGAGGAAGATTGGCACAGATATTAGCTCAGGGCTAATCTTCCTCAAGCAAAAAAAAAAAAAAAAAAAGACTAGGACTGGCCATGGATGTTATGTTCTCTTGCTTTTGGATTGTTCCTTCAGGGCTATATTAGTGTAGTTGCTTCCTCATCATCCCCTCTTCCTCTTTTTCCTCCTCCTGCAGGGTGCATCGCAGCCAGACTTAGATTACATCACACTCCTTGCCTTACCCTGAATGCACAGAAGCTTAAGCCCAAACTCTTTTTTTTTGTTTTTTGTGAGGAAGATCAGCCCTGAGCTAACATCCATGCTAATCCTCCTCCTTTTGCTGAGGAAGACTGGCTCTGAGCTAACATCTATTGCCAATCCTCCTCCTTTTTCTTTTTTTCCCACAAAGCCCCAGTGGATAGTTGTATGTCATAGCTGCACATCCTTCTAGTTGCTGTATGTGGGACGTGGCCTCAGCATGGCCGGAGAAGCGGTGCGTCGGTGCACGCCGGGATCCGAACCCGGGCCGCCAGTAGCAGAGCACACGCACTTAACCGCTAAGCCACGGGGCGGCCCAAGCCCAAACTCTGAGTGCCGGCATGTCCCCACTTTGCCTTTCCACTCAGTCCCCGTCACTGCTCAGAAATACTTTCCACTTTAAACAGGTTCTCCTTCGATGAGTTCCTCTAATTATGCTTTAGTGTATGTAGTTCCCTCTTACAGAATATATTTCTGTTTCTTTACCTGCCTAAACTCCACCCATCTTCCACGTCCCCCAGCGGTCCCTACTGACTCCACCATGCCTTCTTTGAATCTAGTCTGTATGATCTCTTACTTTGAATTTTTCTGCTATTCCCCATATCTACCATTCAAGATGGTCCCTGATCATCTGTCACGTTCTAGCACCTACCATGCTGCAGATTATAATGTGCAATTTCCTGAAGCACAAAACCCTTTTTCCCCCTTTCTCAAAGTCCTATGCAGTCCTTGCCACAAAATAATAAGTATTTTCTAATTTAGCTGTTTTGTCAAAGTCAAAACTTTTGTGGAAAATGAGAGTTTTTTGAGAGAAGAAATAGGATTATCCGTGATAAAATATTTTCATCTTCCCATATATATTTTGCATATTACTTACCCACTATCCTTAAATATCCATAAATATTTTAATTCTGAAGTTTCTATTGCAATCCTTATTAAACTACTATACAAAACATGTTTCTGACGATTTTTTGTTGTTTTAGACGCTGGCTTGTCTTAAGTTAACATTATTAAGTATGAAGTTATTTTTAAAGGAACATTTCCTTCAGAAATTATTGTAAAATCACAATGGGGTGGTATCTGAGTTATATAGATATTTTGGGGGTTTTGTATACGGGACATGGTGTGCAAGGAAAATTACGAAGTGTGCCTTCCCTTTTTTCCTATTTTCATACACGACAAATCAAGTTAAAATGAACAAAGAGAGCTATAAGAAAGGGAAAATAATTCAAAACATGCAGCACGTGTGTGGACGAAGGATGTATGTGGATGAAGGATGTGTGCGGAGGGATGGGGAAGACGCTTTCTCTTGGGCATGATGCTCCTGGCAACTCTAGGCTGACAGCTCACCCTCAGGTGGAGATATGACTGCAAACAACACTGAAGGTGAGTCCATCCCTTTGCCTTTTAATCTCAATAACTTGCATTCTTATACTAAAGCCTCAGGCCTTTTCCTCGACTCCCACGTGATTTCTGGTTACCCGGACTCTGGATCCTTCAAAGCACCCCGTGCAGCCTGGCAAATGGCCACTCACCTTCTTCCTCAAAGAGAAGTCCCATGTGCGCATGTGCCTCGGCTTCTTTCTTCCCACCGTCTATTTTGATCAGCTGAGCAATCTCAAAACATCGTTCATAGAAGTGGTTCCTTACCCACTTGTCTTCCGAATTATTGAAGTAACAGGCCAGAGCATACAAGTTATTATAGACATCTTCAAAGTATTCTTCAAAGGGAGAAAAACATCATAAACTGCATTAGAAAAATGTCTCACAGCACATCCCTTCAAATAGCAAACCAATATAATGACATTTATTTTCTATTTTTCCTTCAAAGCACGATTAACTATTTTAAAAATCGAAATGCAAAAATTAAATTAATGTATTTTAACTATTAAAATAGTTATATTAATTAAAGTATGTGCATATGAGAAAAGCAAACAAAAATCTTTCAGAAAACTTAGAACATGTTAGAAATTGACATACTCTTTGGTTGAAACACTAGATTTTATATAAAACAAAAGACAGGATAATATCTACTAGCAATGTGCTCAGTTCCTTTGGAAGAAATGAGTATGTGGTATCATCAAATATTTTTCCCACTGAAGATCTGAAAAGTATTTAGAGATTCCAGAGAAAGAAATGTTTCTTAACCATGGCAAAAAAATAATGTAAATGAAGACAGCAGATAGGATATGAAAACAGCAAGGTACTTTCACTGAGAAGAGAAAAACAATCATGAGGCTTATAGATATAAGAAATGATGATCGGGATGACCCAATAAGCTCCCTACACTTTTCTAGCCATGTTTCCAGCAACACAAGTTACTAGCAATGTTAAGAGTGAATTTCTATGCTTCTGTTTTCTATGAGTATATTTTTCTACTGAAAATGCATTAATACTAGTCATCCTTCTCACTTAGACAGTTATTAGTTTACTAGTTATTAACGTATTAAACGACCCTTTTTTTTCCTAAAGTGGCATCTGACCTATTTGTATACAAAAAAAAGGTGTTAATAAATTGTGAAGCAGTCTTATACACCCCACTGCAATCAATCGTGAACTTGAATAAAAATGGTTGTGTGTTAACAAATTATGCCTCAGTCTGTAAACTCCACTCTATTGGTGAATGTGAACAAATTCATAATCTTTGTCTTTTTGCGTTTGTGCTGAAAGCACAGTTATGTGACAGCCTCTGGATTACCTTTCCAAGGATTTTTTATAACCATCGTTATCTATTAGAATTCACCGATTCTAATTGTTCACTACTACCAGAAGAGTCAACTTATATATTCCTGAAAGGATTACGATTATTAAAAGTATTTATCCATTGCCCACTAGTACTCCCCATAAGATTAAAATCAAAAGGCTCAGAAAAAAGTGAAATTAGGCCGATTACAGCAAAAGGTAACTTTCAAGAACTCCAATGTTTCAAAAGAAATTTCTAAAACCTACATCATTCCTTTACATATACTGTTTCATAATTCCATAGGAAATTAAGATTAATCTCAAGATAAAATTTATACTTAAAAATTAAGGTAAAAAAAAAAGGTCTTTCTCTCCTTATTTTTGAAGGAGCTGGGGATTCTGGGAGCCATTCTGCTTTTTAAGGCTATTCATAATAGGCAACAGCTTAGGTGAAAAGCTGAGAGTAACCTGAGTTATTCATTTAAAACAAATATTCTCATCTCAGAACTGACTTTTATACTTTATCTTCCCATTCTGAACCTTCTACCTAATGTGAATAGAGCACTAAAGTCTATTTCATAATATTTTATATTTTTTGTCATATTTAGTGATTAGAGAGTTATTATTTTTTAAAGCCTCTAAGTAAAACATTTCATGTCTTTCATTTTAAAAAGGTTATCTTAAAGAGCGTTTTTTAAAACAGAATGTAATCCTGAAATAATTTTTCTGTTTTTCAGTAATTTAACCTCAATAGAAAAATATTTCCAATATTTCATAAACAAAGTTTTATTTTTATTTTTTTTAGAATGAGTTATATAAGTTATCGAGATTCCATATTTAAAGACTATTTGTCGGGCCGGTCTGTGGCTTAGCAGTTAAGTGTGCCCGCTCTGCTACTGGCGGCCCGGGTTCGGATCCCGGGCATGCACTGATGCACCGCTTCTCCGGCCATGCTGAGGCCGCGTCCCACATACAGCAACTAGAAGGATGTGAACTATGACATACAACTATCTACTGGGGCTTTGGGGAAAAAAAAGGAGGAGGATTGGCAACAGATGTTAGCTCAGGGCCGGTCTTCCTCAGCAAAAAGAGGAGGATTAGCATGGATGTTAGCTCAGGGCTGATCTTCCTCACACACACACAAAAAAAACACGACTATTTGTCAGCAAAGCTATTTTTCTTTAGAAAAATGGAGCGTTTTTCAGAGTGTTAAGTGTAAGTAATATATTCAAGTTTTGAATCTTTGCACAAACCAAATATATGGCCTATGCCCTTTACACTCTAAGCTGCCTTTTCTCCTTGCTTATAGACCACTTCCTTGAATTGTCAGTGGGTATATATCTATAAGATGAAAATCACTTTTATTGTTGGTTTATTATTTATACCTGTATTCATTATGCTACCTAAAAAAGAGATTCTATGATGAAATAAATTTGGGAACTGCTCTTGTTAATTTCTCTCTTTCAGTGAACCACACAATATACATCAGCATATTAAAGGCTCTGATAAGTCTTGCAATAAACCGACTTGCTTAACGTCAATGTGAATTCACCTGATGTTTCTCAAACTTATTTCACCAGACAATTACTTTTGCTTTGCTTTACATAAAACCTATAAACATCCTTTGGAACTCTACTTGAGTAGAACATACTTTGGGCATCTTAAATAAATGTTATTAGAAAAAAAATCGCTGCTTAACCCTTGACAATAATTTAAAGTCAAGTGTAAATAATGTTTGAATTATCTATTGATTCGGTTACCCATAATCATTATTGCCATCTCTTCCCTGGCCCCATGGGGCACAAGGCCCTAATCATAATGTTACAGACGGTACAGAGATGATTCACAATGAGTAATATAAGAAACATTATCAGGGACAAAGAAACCCTGTAACAAACGGAAAATAATCCAAAAAGAAATGACTGGCTTACTTTCAACACTTTGCTATGAAACAGAAAGTGATGTTTTGTAAAGTAATTTAAATAACTCTAGGTTCCTGGTCTATAAGTCTCAAGAGGCAGAACTGACCCGAGATGACTATTGTTAGTGCCATAGCTTTGATTAAATGAACTTCATTGTGACCCTAGAGTGACGGTCTTTCCAATGAGAAGCAATGAGAACGCTCAGAGATACGCCACCTCAGGATAATTGTCTCAGATCTCACAACCATATGGGATGGAATCTTGAGATGTTATTAACAGATTTATATATTCTAGATTAAGAGTGTGTGTGTGTGTCTGTATGTTTATATGGATTTTAAGATTGAGGATTAATTCAAGTTACTAAGAGTGAATGTGCATATCCCCTATATCATTTTCTGGAACATTCTTAATTCAAATCATGATTTTCCCCCAATAAAGTTCATGTGTTAAATATGAAAAAAATTATGCGAATTTTTAAAAAGAGCATACAAATGTTTATATGCCCTTTAAATGAAGTATTTCCAACAATACTTTTTGCAATAATTTTAATTTTCTGTATTTCAACCAGGGAGAAGCCACTGCATTTGGAAGATAACCCTACAAAAGAGCTATTCCGAGCAAGAGGTAACTTTGTTCCATTTAACAAATGCAACCTTAGTTACCATGAATATATGATAAACCACTCAGTAAAGGAAATATTTCCTTTCATTACTTATATTACATGTCTAAGACATTGGCTATTATAAAGTTTGAACTTTGTTAATTTTGGGAATTGGAGAAACATTTTTATTTATAGGTATAGTTACTTTTCTTTAATAAAAGACTATAAATTAAAATGTTTTCTACCCGAAAATAGACTATCTAGCATTTTAGTTTCTTTATAATTACAAAATGCTTTATGATAAGTTTCTCATATTTATGACACTTTATGACAAATGATATACTTGGCTTATATTTATGCTACTCAAACAAAAGCATCTATTTAAAAAACTTAGTGAATATAATGTATTCAACTTGAAAAAATGACTAATGGGCAAATTTTACCTTGATCAATTCTATTTTCAGTGTAAACATCGCTTCAGAATTTGAGGCTGATACTACAATATAGGTTTTTTTTTTTTTTT